AGAAAGATTATTATTCGATTGTTCGATACATTGTTCTATTTTTCTAATATCCTTTTATTCCGATCGTGCGATACTTTTACTATATGTAAATACATGATTTTATAAAAATCTCGCGTTTTAACATAACAAAGATTATATTACGTACTCATATTATGTATATTACGTAATATATCATAAATACGGTGTATTAAAAGATAAAATTTATCATTATTATTATAATTTCTGCTAAAATTTAAAATAATTTTTTTCTATTTCTTACAAAAGATACGAACTTATAAAACTTCTAAGTCGCTTTGAAAGACTAAAAAAAATAATTATTAATTTTAAATATATATATATCGATCGTTTAATTTTAAAGTGTATATCATGCAAATAGATTGTACAAAATATTTCGAGAAATGTGTGGCAAATGATTTACGTTTACATTGTTGATAAACAGTTCTGGATTTGCCTTTTGGATTTTCGTTTCTCAGCCGATGTTTTGACGACACAGCAGAAGCATAAAAACGAGTAGAAACGAGTTGTAGCGTGACGTCACGCTGCTCAGCGTGTGACATTTTCAGCATGGCATTTTCTTATTAGCCGGCACACTCTCATCTCAACCATCCTTCTCTCCTCTCTTCTCAGTCAGTAGCTCTTTTCTAAAAGGGAGAAGCAAATCTTTCAATGCGTTCAACTACTCGCTCTTAATGCCACATTTTCAATACATATATATTTCAAATATATATTTTTAAATAATAAAATTATGAAATATTTCGTTTCTGTTACTGTTTCTATTATATTTTTCTATATAGATTAAAAGGGTGAAATTATTTCTCCGGCAACAAAGGTCAGAAACAAAAGTTATTTCACGTCATCGTGGATGGAAAAAATGCACACATTTTTAACCGATGTAACGGTATTCGTATCCTCGACGTACGCGATTTGTCCCCGAGTTGTTCACCGTTCACTGAAAAGACGAAGGACTCGGGCCTTGATGAAAGAAAGGGCAACCGACCCCGTGTGCACCAGGCTTCTGTTTACCACGTGTACACCCGTGTGTCTTTCCTCGTGCACTCCAATAATAATGCCTATATACATGTATGAACGTATGTACATCTGCTGGACACTTGGCTAACTTTTCCTTTTCTTTCCTGCCTCTCTTTTGTTACCGTATCCTGTCTTTAATCGCGGTAACGAGACGTCTCTCTTCCTCTCCATCTCTTTCTCTCTCTTTCACCATCGACCGACACGTCTTCACCAACACTTTCGAAACTTTCCACCATGGATTTTTGTTCCAGTTGCTCGTTCCTTGCTTCCGCGCATTTTTATTTACACTGGTTCAACAACTCGAGGAAACTGTCTGTCTCTTTTCATGCAAATTTCATTCGTACGAGATATCCTCGAGTTTGCGAACAAACTCATCCATCTAAATGGTGATGGTGTACCATTCGTTCAGTTAAATCGAAATTGATTAGATCTTCGATTATATCGATATATTTTATCGTTTATTTATAGCATCTTGTTTTTAATTAAAATAAAAAAAGGAAGGAAAAAAATGTCGAGCGAAGAAAATTTTTTCAATGCCTTCAAAACACAGTAATCTCACAAACCACAACTTAGCTGATATTTTTTTTTTTTCGATTTATCCTAGATAACAAATCTCTGATATCTCGATCGTCATCGTTTGCAATTTACCAATATCGCGTACACCCTTCAATGTAACATAATAAATTCTATCTGGGTCGAAGATCCAGAGATTTCATTTATTATTACCAGATCCTGTCATCCCGCCTCCGGCATTGTTTACAAAAGAAGGAAGGAACGAGTTACTTGAGAAGATAGAATGGAAGGTTGAAATTCGCGATAGAAGGAGAAGAGAAAGAAGAAAAAAATGTGAGGGGAAGAGATGAAGGCATAGGCAGCGCGTATCGCGAGGATCGGAATCGAATCGATAGAAATCGTTGGTGGAGATCGTTCCAGGAATCGTTAAAGGCCAAGGCAGCGTATATACAGTGAACCAGGTAGCCGTGCAACGATACGGGTAAATGCATGGTTGGCAAACCGGACGAAGCGGAGAGGCAGCTCGCGTAACGCAACCGCACGGTAGCCCTCTCGTGCGAAAAACTTGTTGTCCGCTCGCCTTCTTTACCACCGATGCGAAAACTGACCCCTCGAAATCACGACTACCTACGATACGATAAAACTCCATTTATCGAAACGAAATTTTCGTCGATAATGCTCGATTTCGTGAATTCCATTTATTATTTAAACAAACATTTATTTTCATTATATGAACATTTACGCTACGAACGAAAAAATTAATTATATAATTATATAATTATATAATCCGTAAGATCAATTATATTCGTATGATTCGATCTCCAGTTTATTGTTCGTAGCATCTCGAGCAATTTTTTGATAAAATTTAGGTTATAAAAATTTAAATATTAAAAAATCACGAATATCAAAAACGAATCCATAATTATCTCTATGAAATGTTCTATCCCAATGGGTAATTTTCTAAAACACGTAAATTTTTTAAAATTTTGAAATTGAATTATTACTAGAAAATTATAATGGACCACGAATATACGTATAATGAGTCAAGCTTCACGGTATACCGCATGATGCACGATTTCGTTGAAATGTTTCGACGCGAGGCAAAGACAAGGTTCTGTTACCGCGTTATAGCACTTAGATACATGCTGTTGTAGATGTACCGATTGCTTCTGATCCTTATCGGCAATGAGGTTTGAAAGATGAAAGGAGAAGTAGGTTTACGATACTGTGTCGAAGTTAGAATTGTATGCATTGAAATCTATGGATGGATCCTTGAGCTAATTGCATCTTGTTTTTTTTCATTGTTATCTCATTACATCGTTAATCACAAGGGATGGATATACGGATGGTATTAATATATTATCTAGATACAAATAAAGATAAAGTTTTATTTCTGTTACACAGGCGCGCCACGCCGCGGCGCTCCATGTCATTCTATCTTTGTCTCTTTTCATCTAACGCAAACTTCGATTGCTTATTTATGTATATCAATCTTTGTCTTCGTATTAAATCTTTAGAATCGATCGTTCGAGGATATTCCAAGAATAAATTAATATTTCTTTTGTATAAAAATTCGAGAAGACACATATTTTCTAGATATATATATATATAAAATATATATACAAATCTTATAAGTTATTTTATTAATATAAAAAATTAAAAAATTATTTTATTTTACAAATTTTTAAAAATTCTATACATCAATTTTTCTAAAAATTCATTACATATTTTATAATTAAATCTTTTCTATTCGGTTTACAGAAAATTTATGTATGATATTCTCTATAAATTAAACGATTCAAATCTCTTTCCTGTCATTGGATCGTAAATTATGCTGCGTCAAATAAAATTTTTTTTTACACATCATCAACTTAATTACTCTATAAGCAATTTTATAGTCCAATTAATGGCCGCGGCAAACGTGTGCGTTCTCTTATTATAAAGAATCACTTTCTCATTCTGTCGCATTTTTAACTTCTGGCGCCACGTCGATTTCAACTTTCACGTGTCACGTTAATTTCAAGTATAAGTGATAAATTTCTGTTACGTAAGATTTTATAACTTTCTTTTAATCAAAAAACATTGTACTATATTAATCAATTTTTGTGTAAAAAGAAAATGAAAAAAAATCTATCGTCTCGTAATTTGTATATGGATACATAAATCATTCTTTTTATACATTTAATATTAAATGGTAATAGTAGTAGAAATAGTCTATAGTATATTACTATAATACTTATATTTAGTTTACAATTATTAAGTAATTAAAACGGTAAATCTGTAATGAACTCTATCATATAATTCTTTATTTTTCACAATCTTTACGTTTTGTAAGTCTATAAATATGGTGAATGAAAAATTTTATCTCATGATATCCACAACAAAAAATCTTTTACCAAAATCTTTTAATTAAATTGATCATTAATTAAATCTTGCCAATCGTTCGACCTCATACTTATTTTATAATTTAATATTGATAAATACGGCAAATATCCAATACCTGTTTTCCAATAATCTTGCTTCTGCTGAAGATACATCTGTATAATGCTTAATTAATAAATTTGAATTAATTAATCAAAGTAATATATTCGTATATATAATATATGAAATATATACGAACAATAAAATAAATTATTGCATATGTTATTTATTTTTTCGAATGTTTTGCTTTGTAACGCTTAATTATATGAATAGACAAAATTTCATTTTGATTCTATAAATATATAAAATGAGAATAAAGAATATTAAATAATTTTCGATCATTAATAATTAAAATATACATTAACATTTCTAAAAAATAAAATATAGCAAAGTAAAATATAATACATGTAACTACATGTATTTTTAGTTAAAATTGACATTCATTATTAATATTTAACATCTGAAAAATAAAAGATAACATATAATAACATTTGAAAAATGTTAAATTTTTCCAATTTTTTTTTTTATATTTTATAACGTTTTTATAGATAAAGTTATATATATTTAGATAGATGCTTATAGTTTACTGTAAAATATACATGTGTAATGAAAATTATGATAGTTTTCTGACCCTATTGATAATGGTCGACGATCCCTGTTCGTTAACTTATTATGTCATCACAATTTTGTCTGATATGACTAATCCGATTACTTACGATAATTGTGCCCTTTTGAGAAAACATTTCTATATTATAAATAGTTTATTTCATCATAGAAATACTCAAATTCATAATTTTTCTCAGTACAATTCCATCACACTCATAAAATAAATTATTAAAGATTATCAAGAAGATTCTTAAACAATTTTAAAAATTATAAAAGATTTTTCAAATATAAACTTATTTCTTGTGTACAAGTATAAATTGAGAAAGATTACGATATGAAAAATAAGAATCGATAAATAAAATATTAAACGAAAAATAAATTGTAATTGTAGGTATATTTTCTTGGAAAATATGACAGATTCTGATACTCACCCTCATTTTCTGAACGTTTATCACGGGAAAACTGGAATTTAAAAATAGTCATCTTATCATGCTCTATCATCGTTGGTTCAGTTTACTTTAAAATTTCTTAATGCTCTGGAAAAAAAATGTATATTTGTTAGCTATATCCATAAAGTTACTCAAATATCCAAGCTGCAAGATATATGAATTTATCGTTCTATAAAGATAAAATAAGATATAAAATATTCTGGAATAAAAGAAATTTATGTTTTCTTCTTATGCTGTAGATTAAATTGAATAAGATCGTAATAAAAATCAGTGGGAAGTTTTAAGCAGGGATCGGACGGTATCTAAATTGACAAAATGATTGGTTAACGCGAGGAATAAAATCGGGAAGGAGCAAGAGCAACATAATAGAGGTCTTAAGATCGTGCTCTCACCGTGTATAGAACCGTGTGTACATATATACGGTGGATAAATGGAGGCAAAACTATCCAGACGAGTGACTTTCACCCGATTGACTTTCCCTTTCTCGACTCGATATACTCGCCTCTGTAATTCGACGTATCAGTCTGCCGCCTCCGAGATCGGAATCGTTTAGCAGTCCACATCCGTTCCCGATCGATTCCACCTTCGTTCATTTTGTTCTACAAAGATAACGCGACATGCGAGAAATCGTATGCAAGTATTGTGAGTAAGTATCTACTTACTCGTGAAATCGATGTTCAGACATGTTTTGTGTGCCTTTCGATAAATAACGTTGGATCGAAAGGAGGACGTGAGAAACGAGTCGAGAAGATGATTTTCGTTCGGTTTGTTATCACGTGAAAATCGTTTCTATCCTAAGTGAGAAAATTTGATGGTTGGATAACGTTATTAAGAAATATGAAATGTCGTTAATCCTTTTTCACCTGTAATTTCTTCTGTCGAGCCAAGAATATAATTTCGTATATCTGTATATCTGTAGAAAATGAGAAAAAAAAAAAGGTTTCTCTTAAACGATTACAAATTATTAAAGACGAGGAAATAAAATGTTCCACGATATTCCTTCGAACGTGTTTAACGATCGATACCTTGTTTCACGTGAAATACGCCAGTGGTGATTTTGCCCTTGGTGGCAAAATCGATTTCACCTAGATCGAATCGACCATTGACGTCAATCCACGTTGATGCTCAAGACTCATGCATGCATTATGCTTTTGCATCATCCGAATACGTGATCATAAGCTCGTACCAATTCTTCTTATCTAATTCATGCTTTTGCGTCAAATCGCATTTTTTTTTTTTTTCCTTTTCTCGTTTCTATAAACATACCCGACTAAATGGAATGAGATATATAGATCATTCGAATGTGGAATGAAAAAATTGAAAGATATGAAGATTATACATTTGTAACCGAAATAGCAATGAGCAAAATAATCTGATCATCGTCTGGAATAATAAATTGGTATTAATAATTTTATTTAGATAGACATTATAGATAGAAGTCGTATGAAAAATTTTAGGTCACATTCTATGAGCAACATTCTACGTGTCGTTCTAAAAACATAGTTGCGTTGCAGAATCTACTATTGTAAACTTGGATACTTATTGGATTTTCTATTTCGTTATACGATGGATCCAATGAAATATTTGAAAGATTATTATAAAAAATAAAAATCATCTTTACAAAAAAAATTAAAAAAGATTAATTACGAAAAGATTAAAATTTTATTCCTGATATAAACTATATGTTGTAGATTATTCACGCAGACTTAATTAAAGTAATAATAAATTTATAATTTTACAATATACAAATGTTAAAATTTTCAAAATAAATTAATTTTCTGAAAAAAAATTATAAATTCTAATTTCGTTGATTTCAATAATTTCGATAAACAATTACATCGTTCGATATAATTGCAAACAATTTATGATCAATCTTAATATGAAATTTTGCAAAAAGATTAAAATCAACGATCATTTTCACAGAAAATTGTTCTTCGATACAAATATCAATTTTTGCAAAGTTTGTTGTTATGTTTTGATATTGAATCGTTTTTATTATTGGCCATTATTACGATGGTAATACTTAGCAAGTGGAGATTAAAAATAAACTTCGAGGAATAGGAACGGAAGGAAAGAAACGAGTTGGCTAAATATTTATGTTTATAGCTTGCCGATAGTCGTTACAATACAAAAATAGAAAGAAACTATAGACGGAAACGATCGTATCTGTTTTTTAAACGCTATCGTTTCGGTACAGAAATTTTTCGAATTATTTCGAACAAAATTGATTAAGATTTCAATTTGTAAATGTTTCTTAACGATAAGAAAAATGCAAAAGAATCAATTCAATTTTAAATAACTCTTTCAGAAAGATAATGTACCAATTGATAAGACTTTTACCGAAGTAAGTCGAAAATCATTTCAAGGTCAACAGGTCGATAAATTCGTGTTGACATCAACTACAACGCTGTCAAGTTAAAAATACACGATACCACTTAAACAAATATCGATGATCTTGAAATTTCTTAAAACAATTTCTTAAAACAAATGAGTTTAAGGAAAATATTTTTCCTTTATCATAACTCATTGAACAATGTGATATTCTTGTTCAAAGAAGATTTTTATTAAAAATAGTAAAGATATTTAAACGCTTTGCTTCTCGTAACTTCCATTCCATGTAATATTTTATGATAATTCAATTTTTTTTTATTTATATCATAAAAATTTAATAGACGTGACTCAAATATAATTATAATTACATTAACATTATTATTAATATTTTGAAATTTAAGTCATATGCACAAGTCACTATGTATTGCACAACGATAAGAGTTTGATAATAAAATTTTACAAATACATTTCGCTAAATACAAATCATCCGATAACATTCTCGTAAATGATTAATCATTATTAAAATACTGTATCGAAATTCTTAATAAATTATTAATAATCGGTAAAAAAAAGAAAAGATTTAGAAAAATTAATCGTTCAAACTAAAATTAAAACGTTTCATTAACGATATTAATAATTCAACTAGTAACTTTGATAAAAATAATATATAATTGTATTATACGTATGTAAAAAATACTGGATGACTCGATTCAATGAAAAATCAATCGAACGTATCTTTTTGTCACGAATCTACGTAACGATACGAATAAAGCTATGAATCTTTTTCACATTTTATACGTACAATAAGCATTGGTATTTTGACGTAAACCTGTATTACTGAAATACAGTTATATTATAATTAAAGAAATATCTTTTTTCATTTTTTTCACTATCATCACGAAACTCTGCGGTCTTTCCATGAAATTTTCCACGGATATTTTTCATATTGACGACACTTATCATTGCAAGTCTATCTCTATAATGTTAAACTTCGTTTACAATGACATATATACGTATATCATGCGATAAATTGTCTTACGTAGCATGAATTTTAAATAATGGTATCATGCTAGATTGGAAAGTGAAAAAAATATATTTACTTATGAAGTTGATGAAAATGGTAAATAATAATTTTCAAATGATAAAAAATTATAAATAAAGTTTTTATCAATGTTGCGATATTTCAGATTATTCTATTATCCTACAATTTTTGTTACACCATATTAATCTATAATTACATATCAATAATTGCGTATCGTCGACACTAATAAAAATCAACTAATAAAAATCAAATCAAAAATTTATTATTAAATTTTGTATCCACCATTCGTAATAGAATAAAGTTCAACAACTTTTTTTTTATAATAATCAACGATTTCTTTTTTATAATATATCGTATGATTTTCTTTTGAAAAATTTGTAAAAATCGTACAGATATTTTTTAATCGATTTAAAAATACTCTTAAATGAAAGAAATAATCTTTTATTTATTTTTTACTATTACCACTCTTAGATAACTAATAAAAAATTATAAACGCAACATCAATGATATTGTATATTTTTATGAGATCAATAAGATACAATAAAATATCATTCGCACTGACAGAAATAATTCAAAATAACGACCATTCAATTGAACATATGACACGTTTCATTTCTTTATATTCTCTATTAGGATTGATAGATAGATCCTTTAATACAAATCACTCTTTGCGATTTTAAAATCGTGCAACTTTCTGATAAATTATAAATCGTATCCTTGAACATACTATAAATATATGAGAAATTAGCGATTCTTATTTCTTTTCCTGAATGATATCAATCCGATCTAAATTAAATTCCCAGAGATACCTGCCTGATTGATTATGCGTATATATTTAAACAATAATAAGTCACGAGCATCGCGCGATGTATTTTTTTATACGTATTTTTTTATATAAATAATTCTTATATTACGATAAGATCTTATATTACTCGATATCAACGATAAAATAACGATATTTAATAATTTGGAAATAAAATTAAAACAGATAAAAAAAATAAAAAGTTACCTAACAGTTGGCATAATAAAAATTATTATTTAGAGAAATTATTATGAGAATTTTGAAGATAAATAATATAATAAATTTTGATAAATTTTGAAGATCGAATTTAAAATATGGTGTGCGATGTATCGAAAAAATTTTAAATTAAATAACGAAAAAATATATAATAATAAAAATACGTAGGAAATTTTTTTAACTTTACATACCGGCACGTTCAAATTTGTATTTCTGTTATCTTCTATCGTTACAACAAAAGTATACGCTATCTATCTAACAATAAGAAGATAAGTAGCACGAAAACGATAAATCACAAAAACTTCTCAATAAGAGTATACATGTTCGTATCATTCTTCAGTCCAGGAAAGAATTTTATTATCACAATGTAATTTTCCCTTCACGTTTCTAGCGGTGTGAATTACCGATGCTTCCACTGAGAAAATATAAATGCACGGTAGATGAACGGCGTAAACTTCCTGTAAATCACGATGGTTTCTTTGAGAAAATGCAAACGCTTAGGGAACCCGAACAATGAGAATTAACCGCGGCTATGAAAATTATACCGCTTACGAACCTCGATGTTAACATCGTGAATCAAGTTGAGTTAATGAAAGTAACGTCACCGATCGAACAAAAGAATTGGAAACTGGGAACATTTGTTAACGGCTAATGTGTATGAATTAAACGAATATTAATATTTTTTTTCACTTACGGTTGGGACGCCTTGAACGCAATGAAAAAAAAAAAAAAAAAAAAAAGATAAATATCGATGGAATGAAATAATTTTAAATAATATAAAATACGGTTTGAAATTTGGCATTCTCGTCGATCGTATCGATCAGAAAAATCCAATTCAACAAAATCGACTAATAAAATTGTAAAATATTTCTTTCTCGACGAAAAAATAATTGTCAAAAATCGATCATCCCTATGAATAACGATACATAACGCAGGTAAATTGAATATATGGAATTTTGTTGAAATAAAAGGATAGAGATGCGTGGATTAAAAGGAGAGCATATAGAATAGAGGAGTGCGATAGTTAGAGGCGCAGCTTGCCAGCGGAACGTGTTAATTATTAATACAAAGCATTTAAGCCGAACAGTTATGGCGGCCTATTTTAATCCTGGAGCTCTGTTTTCACCGTTGCTTTTCGGCCACTTCCGCTCCTGAATTAGAAGCGCCAATAAACGGGTGGGCCTATATAGAGGCCTCGTTGTTTGACCAAGTGCACGCCAGCCACCCTCCGTACCCGCTCCACTCCTTTCAAATACCAGGAACGACGCCATGAAAAAAACCGATAATTCCACGTGTTCTGCCTTCAAAAATCGAGATAAACGTTGGGAGAGCAGTTAGTTAGCGATTTCGATATCTCGCCAACTCTCGTTTCAACCATCGTTCGATATTATTTTTTAATAT